ACAAGAACAAACCTGATTTACTGGCCTTTAAATCAAACAACTCTCAAAACTGTGAACTACAACACTATCAACTGATCCAATGACAGGCTTAAAGCATTTATTGAGATCACAAGTATCATCATTAACTAAAATGGCACTCCGTAGAGCACATCTCTGCCAAGGCTTGATAGTCCCCTTGAATTCAATCAAGGTGCTGCAAATTGCACACTTCAGCTTTTCCCACAGAATTAATTCAATGCGTGGCGGTAACATGGTCTCTACTGCACGCGCACGACGGTGACTCTCATGTGCAACAGATTCCGAGTGATAGGTTCACAGACTAATGAGTAAAAGACAAGTTCTTAAATGAGCGAAATAATTGCACTGATGCCACAACTGTAGCTGAAACTTTGAGTTCTGACTGTCTGCATGGACGGTAAAAATTTTACGGACAATAGCGTGAGCATGTGGCAAGAAGCGCTGCACACATCAAGTTTGATATCTCTAATTTTATTATAACAGTGTATAAAATGTTTGAAACTGTGGAAGGACAAATTATAATATGACGAGCCACCACAGTCTAGATAATTAATGGGAAACACTGCAATTCAGTCCCTTAAATATGCCTGATACATATATACACCACCAAACAACAAATGGGTGAAAACATGACCTTTTCGGTAGAGTTTGAAATACCACAAATAAAAAGTAGCTCATCTCTTAGACTCATTCTCTTGACTATCCTCCAAACACTTCTACTCTTTGAATGAAACTATTTAAATGATATTTAACATTTATTTGATTCTTAAAATCTTTCGCTTAAACTTGCTTATGTTGAACTCTGTGCTCTCTATTGTGACCCTGACGCTACTTCTGTGTCTACTCTGTGGGACAGAAGTAGGAAAATGGGACTTTTTGTTGCTCTTCCTGAGGCAACCGAGGAGTAAGTTTTCCTCATCTGATCTGATTGTTTAGAGTGAAGAGTGAAATACTTGGGTCTTAAACTGACATGATGGAAATAACGACCTCTTAAAAATCTCTTTTCTTTTTAGTTCTCAGTCATACAGAAACACAAAAAGAGGAATTGTGTGTTTCTTTCTGAGATTTCACAATGACACGAACTGAATCCAATGTGAAGCATATAACATGCGAATGAAAATGATGAAGTTGTCATTACAAACCTGCTTCCCTGTGAATCCTTGGCAGATGACCTTTGTGCTCTTGCTGATGTAGAGGTTCTGTCTTGTTCCCGTATAACAGTGCCTGACTCCACTGTGCTGCACTGATGGACAGATATTAAGGAACAGATATCAATGCACATGTTGACATAAATCATCAAAACATTACACAATCAAATCCTCACACCAAACTTTGTTGAGACTAATCAATGTCAGAAAATTCACATGAAGATACAAAAAAATTATGAAAATGCAATTTGTCCATTTTCATCAATTTTTATTTTCACGAGTATAAGCTTTAAAATAAAAACAGCAGTCTTTTCAATTTTCATACTTAAAATTCTTTTTTGGATTTAATACTTGGTGTGTTTTGACAACAATGTCTGTTCTTCTCCAATGTCATTTATTGTTGCTAAGCAGGAGGTTTTCTTCAGACTAGGGTTTACAGCACCTGTGACCGCATTATGTATTTTTCTTGTTTTGCATAATTTTAATTAGAGATGGTTGCTTCTGTTGTGGAACTGTTAAGATGTCAATTTACTGCTGAAGTGTTTTGCTATAATTTCCCTCAAAGGTCTCCTCAATGTTTTTACTAAATTTATTATCTCAAATTTGCTGGATAACTACATGCACAAAATGCTGCTTCATAATGGAGCAGTTACACATTGTTTCAACAACAGGGTTTCTTTCTTACTCTGACATTACATTAAATAACTACAGTTTTTTCCTTATTTTCTTTGCTCACTGTTCTGATTCTCAGGTCTGTACATTTACTTTCTGGTTCAGTTCATTGTCACATATTTTTATAAACTCTTTTTATCTTTTGCAGACAGATTTTCAAATCCCACAGGCTTAGGCACAGAAAATAACAAGACAAATTCAGGTCAAAGTGCAATAGAAGAGGCTCTGCTGTATAGAGTGTTACGTCAACTGGGAAACAAATGATAAGACACACTAAAAAGAGTGGTATAGCAGCCTTGCAGTAATTAAAAAGTAGAAACATGCTTCACCAATTACAACATCAGTGTAAGACTAAACAGACAGTGACATACTGGTGAGAAAAATGCTAAAAATGGCTAGAATTATGTGTTTCCCTTAAACTAGCACATCCTTAAAGGGAAATCCATGATATGAAGCTTTATTAAACAAACATTTTTATAGTTGCTCATGCAAAAATTGCTCCACACACCAATTGACAGATAATTAGATAAGAACACTTATATAATCGATTAATGATTTACTTAATAGATTAAACATAAAGGCCAAGCATTGACTAACTATTCAAATCTCATCCAGAGCCTTGTGAACCTGTATCCTTACATTTCATCAATTACAAAAATGTACCAATAATTGAAAAATGATTAGCTGCAGCCTTGAGCTTAGTAAACATGACTTTGCATCAAAAGCAGATGATATAGCAGGAATGCTGATAAAACAAAGGGGACACTGGATGCAACGTCAAAAGCCATGGTTGAGTTGACTATTCTGTTGCACACACGTCTTGTAACCTTAAGACAATAAATAATTCAAATTGATGAGCCCTTTATCACAGCAGGCTCACCTCTGACAGAAAACAACATGAAACTTTAATTACCTGCAAGTACTTTGAATAAAACTAAAAAGTGCCTGTTCATGTGTCATCTCAAAGCTCAGTAACTTATTTCAGCAGACTCAACTTTATGCAAAGACATTTAGATTTTTACTTGTGCACCATCTGACAGAAGCTCCTGACTCCACCATCGTTTACAAACAGTATCCTCCCAGAATGGCTGAACTTTGCTCTTCTGTCAGTGCTTCAGTCTCAGACAATTTATCAACGACTCTGTGCAAAGTCCAGTTTCACACTTCAGCTCATTGTCCTGACAAACTGACCGAGTTACTGAACACACGCTCACATCTCTTGGTTTAAAACAATCACACCAACTGCGTTAGTGTCGAAGCACCGTCTATAATTAGATGTGAGCTCTGTGCAAAGCCTGGAGACAACAATCACTGCTGGGGGAGAACCGAGCTCAGGTTTCACTGACAGAACAACAGCACAGTGGATGGACATGATTTGTTTTAGTGGAGAGGACAGACAAGGTCAAAGACCGACACTTGTCCCGAGTGTAAGCAGACAGGAGGCCACATATATGTGTTATATTTGGACGATAGCGATAAGCTAGCTAGTTAGCTTGACTTTCAGTGTAATCGAGTTGGAAGGCTACTGTAGCTAACTAGCCTGAACGCTAGTGACAGCCAACCTGAGGGAGCTTTGCTAGCTCGAGCAGCTCCGCGTGAGCCCGTGTGGCTCCGCTAATGTTCAGAGAATAAACTCAGGTATCAGAAACAACACTGAGGAACATGCCAGGTGATTAGAAGAGGGATGAGTTACAGATACTTACAGAGCAGCCTGGCAAACAACCTGCTGTGAGACATCTTCGGTCATTCACCAATGACACTGGAGGCTGAGGACCCGACCTCTGGTATTTAGCTGTCCACAAATAATCCCGAGGAATCAGCTTTAAGTTTAAAACATCTTCATTTTTACACCGAACTCCAGAATTTTTTGTTTTTGTTCACTGCTATTTTTTTTTAGCGGGGGAGGGGATCTGTGAGTTTAGTATGAAACAACTACAGGCAGTGATTTTCTTCCAGGCGATAAAGTCAGCGGCATAAATTCGCAATCATTTCTGGGTAGTGAAGTTCTCCAGCGCGTGCTTGAAAGAAACCTTTGTCAGCACTAGAGGGCGCAGCAGTCCCAAGAATCATTTCTGACGTCACACTCAAACCCTTTGGATGAAGCAACATTTGACCAACATGTAAACTGTAGATTTCACATCATATTAAACTAACATTACTGTAAATATGTCAGCTTCTTACAGCCAACTTTTTATTTCACTTAATCTAAGTTTTATGTAGATTCTGCAACCAGTGTTTAGGACACATCACACTGTGTCAGTCAAACTTAACTTTTCTCCACACTGCATTTTGTTGTTGTTGGTATTTAACCCATAACAAATAAAAACATAAAAACTTGACTCAATCCAGTAAATTAATTTTTTTATCCAAGACATTAATAGGTAATACATAAGAATACATAATAAAGACCATATGTTACGTTACAGTGTGTCACAATATTGATATATATCAATGGCACAGAGAGTTTTTGGCAGTTTGAGCATAAAGAATGTGTTTCTGTAGGAAATTCTCGCAAATTATCTAAGGTTCTTCGTCTGATTGATACAAAAATCAAATCAACTGAAAAACTAAATGAACCAAACCCATAACTGTGAATATGCAGCAGCTATCAAATGAGTGCAGACAGGTTACTTGTTGGCTGTAGTTTACAGATGTAATGCAAACAAGATAATATCTATGGTTATACATAAAGTATATATCTCAGTTTTTCAGTAAACTTAAATCAAACATTTAATAGAAACTTATTTATTTAATTTATACCCATTGTCTTTGTACCTTTGTGTTTTTTAATTATAAATTATTATATGTCAAACATATATAATAAAACTATTGTTATAAATTAGAATGAAAGTGTTGAAAATCAGAAAGCACACTTCAAAACGATTTTCGACCAAAATTAAAGAGATTTAAAAGAAAATAATAAAATATTTAGAATGATCAAAGGGTTAAAAGAAATGAACATTTACAAATAAGTTGACAGAGAAAAAAATATACAGCTGAAGTAGATAGAATTATGCAAATTTAAAAAGGTCATTTGAATAAAAGTTACATTTTACGAGGAGCACCTGAAGTACCTCAAACCACCTCTGTCACGCCGGATTCAAGTTGACCAATCAGGAGCCACCAACTCCTCCAACGCTGATTGGTTACATCCCTCACCGTCATAGGTCGTTGTTACGCATATTCACGAAATCATTTCCGCCTCTTCTCTCGGTCGCCTCGTACTGTTACCGCAGGAGTTTACGCACCGGTCACAGTCTGCGCTCGATTCTCAGCGCAATGACACAAGAGAAGCTCAGGAACTAGAAGAAGTCAAACCTGAAGCATCGGATCAAGATGGTTCTGGAAAGTATCTCCAGGATAATTAAAGTCCAACTTCCAGCGTATCTCAAGAGGCTTCCGCTGCCGGAGAGCATCGGGGGCTTTGCGAGTTTAACAGGTAAGTTAGCAGGGTTCGAACTTGTGACTGTCCTGTGGAGATGACTGGAGAGGGACACTTTAAACCACAGGGGCTACTAGCTAGCTCACAGGCGACAACAGCTGTCACAGTCGTGTTGTGGGTCCGGGTACGATCCGCTAAACGTGGACTGTGTCTCCATCGGCTCCTGCTGAACTTTACAAAGTGTTGTCATGTTGTAGTTCTGTTCAAGTCCGCTGCAGCTCAGCCATGATCTTAAGGTGGTCCATGTTAGAAACCCTGTACATGTGTTCACGTGTTAAACTGCGGACACAGTTACGACCTCAACCCCCAAGTGTCTGTGTTGTATAAGCCAACATGTCCTCCTCTGCTGTGCGTGGGAAAGTGATGCCTCTGTACCTGCAGCTCGATAGATGCAACGACCCATCACGTGGTTCTCCTGGTTTTAGACCCTCTCCACATCTGTGATCCAGGTACATGTGGGAGTTAAGGCAGAACCGCAAGGAGGTGAATGTTTTATTAGTTGATCTACTTTATTTACTCAAGTGATGGTTTAATTCACGTTTTAAACTAAAAAACATTATTGGTTCCAGCCTCTCACATTGAGAATTTGTGGATTGACCTCATTGCACTTGTGTTCAGGCATAAACAAGACATCTGAAGATGTCACTGGCTCAGGCTGTGTTGAAGTAATGATGATTTAATGATGCTCTGCAGACCAAATGATCAACTTGTGAATAAATGATTAGATAATGAATGAGGAAATAACCTCTCCTGTATAAAGCAAACTGCAGCAGGGAGGTCCAGATGTATTTTCTTTATTGAATTATTCTGAAAGTTTTGAAAAACATCGCTGCACCTGTTTTCAAGGGTGAACTGAAGTGATACAGGATTGGAAGTGACTGGAATGATACCTTAGCTCATACTAACCTTCTTGAGTCAACTGGATATGAACCGCGACTTGATGAATTGGGCCCTATTTCACTGTTTTGATGAAAGTGAAAATCTGGATCTGGATCCACTCCAGAATGTGATGTATTGTTCCTTGGGCTATGCCACACCTTTTCACAAAGGTTCATGGAGAACAGCTCTAGAGTTGTCGAGTAATCCTGCTGTCAGCCAGACAAACAAACACAGAAACAAACAGTGGTGAAAACATAACCTCCTTGGTGATGGTAGTAAACCGAGTTTTTTATCTACAGAGCACACATGTGTTAAAAACATCCTTTGGTTCAGATTCTCTGAGATTAGGTGATAAACATCTACCTCACCAGACCAAGTGCTGATACACCACAAGGCATCACATTACATGCAAAGTGCACCAGGAACATAACATGCAAAGCTAATGCATTCACTGTTTTACAACTCTTCCTCAGCAAGACAACACGTCTCTAAAAGAAGGAAATCCAAAATGTTTTCACAGACTTTGCAGGAAAGTGAGTTGATGTAGCAGTGAAAGTCCCTGTTAGAGCTGATCAACCGTTTCGGTTGGTCGGTCGGCACAATTTTGGAATGTGTCACATTTTTGAAGCCTAAAAAAAGTGAACCAGCAGAGCTACTTCTGCATTGCTAAAGTATGAAATGGAGGCGTCTGACTCTTTGAGACGTAAGCAAAACCAACAAAACTCAGATCAAACCCAGAGAAGAAAAGATTTGAGTTATTTGAGTTATTAGGATTTGCTCAAGTCCTCACATTGTGGGCTTCAATTTTTCCACATGTTGCATGTAGGCAAACCCATTACTGTTCGTGCTCGGTACTAGTCAGGTCAGATTAGAAACTGAAAGATTTATTAAGTGCTCAATGAGTAAAATATATAATAATTCCTTAAAGAGATTAAGGATTAGCAGTGTCCCATTAGACATCAAAATCTTTTTTATTGAAAGTATTTTAATTGCCATAAGAGTATTATCAGGAGCTCCAGCAGCTGAGAGGTCTAACTCGTAGCTAATTATGGTTAATCCTCACTGCGCTTCACTTGTCTGTCATCTCCCTGTATGGTGAACCATACGATGGGTTTTTCCCAAAGCCCGTTCCCAGGCTCGGTGTAGTGTTTCCCCCTGGTTGGTGCGAGATGACACCCAACACGAGAGAGTAGAAATGCAGAGAAGAGGTGGAATAGTTTTCTATAGCTGGTGCAGCAGATACAGTGTGTTACTTTGCAGTCAGATCTCAGGGAGGAAAACAGAGACAAGGGGATTAGAGGTTAAACTCACATTTATATATGCTTGTGGTCATAATGTAGTTTATTCACATTTTCATCTTAAAATATATTATGGAGTAAGATGCGTCTGATACACACATAAAGTCAATAAAGATGTCCTCAAATTGTTTGGTGTGTCCGACCAACAAGAAGTGCAGCAAATCTTCAACAACCATTTTGGCCTTTTTGCTTGATAATGACTCAAACAAATAATCAATTTGCTCACATGTATGTAATGTGTGTGTGCGTAGTGTCTGAGTGGCTCCGGCTGCTGCCTCTCCTGGGCATCCTGGCTTTGCTGGGCTACCTGACCATTCGTCCATTCCTGCCCAAGAAGAAGAAGCAGAGAGACAGCCTGATCAACCTGAAGATCCAGAAAGAAAACCCCAAAGTGGTGAACGAGATAGACATCGAGGACCTGAACAGCGCTAATGTGTGTTACTGTCGCTGCTGGCGTTCCAAAACTGTGAGTTGCTTATTTTCCTCAACTCTGCTGTTATGTTGGTTTTTGTCTGTTTGAGGAGTTCATGCTCCACTGATCGACTAATATAAAGTTGTTTCCTGTTCTTAGTTTCCTGTTTGTGACAAGTCACATTTAAAGCACAATGAGCTGACTGGAGACAACGTGGGACCACTCATACTCAAAAAGAAGATTCTATAATCCACTGCTGATGGGAGTTTTCCTCTGCCCTCCCCAGTCATTCATGTAACAGTTTGTAGTTTTGTCTGTTTTTTTAACATCTCTTTATCTTGTTTTGGTGTCATGTTTATGTTGTTTTGTAGGGACCTCCAGAGTGAGTCAGTTAGTGTGAAAATTGTATAAGTTTGTGCAGTAAGGAAGGGTTTGGTTTTGTTTTGGTTGTGGCCTTTGTTCAATGTTGTGATATGACTGTAAATTCACTTTAAGTCATGTCTCCGTTTTTTCAGAATCGGTTACAAGTCATCGGGAGATTCGGGACCACTGAGGGAAAAACTTGAAGCACAATTTCAGCAACAATAAACTTTCAATAATTTGAAGCCATGAGGGCAAACTCGGTTCATCCATTCATCCAAATTTTGCACAGCAAGCTTTCTTTATTTTGCTTCATTTTTTCCATGTGCCAAATAACATTCTGTCAGGATGTGAATTACTGTCCTTATAAGTTATTGTGTGTATAGAAGGCTACTTATTATTCTTCAAATGTATTTTGTTCACAGCCGCTAAACCCCGGTTTTATATTTTGTTGCCTTCAAACATTTCAAACTGCGCCGTTGAGTAATATCCAGTTTTAGCCTCACTGCCCCACTGAGGTTTTTCTGTACGCCATTTCTTTTCTAGCCTCTGTATAAAGTTGACTTCCTGCTGGAGCCGTTGCCTTTTTTAATTCATCAGCAATATTTTATACATAAAGGGCTTGTATTGTCAGATCTGTATTTTCATCATAATGTCTGAGAATGACTGTGTGTGTTTATGAACCTTTGTAAGGCTGAAATTCATTCATTCTGCAATACAAATGTGACATGTGCAAAGAAATAGTCTACAAGTTTAACTCAACAGTATCTATCACAACAAGGGAACACTTCACTTAACCTGGGGTTGAAATAAGTATGTTTGAATGTCCAACCAAGATTTAAATTTTTCTTTTTCTTTCTCAAGTATTGCATAAATTTAGGGTTATAGGTTTGTATAAAGAATTAAACAACACATTATTCCTATTCATAATAAGGTACATTGCAATTAATAATGACCTCTCCTCTGTTTTCACCTGATGATTGGAGGACAGACGGGCCCTTAGGTGCTGATTAGATTATTTGATCTGACAATTTCAGGATTATTTACAGACGCTGGTGGAGGAAGTTCTTCAACAGTTTTCTGAAGTACAAACAAATGGACAAAAAATAGGGCAAAAGTACATTAACGTTTGTTCTTGAGGAAAAGAAAGTAAGTACTCACTTTTAATTATTTTAATATACATTTTTTTAATGTAGTAAGTATAGATATTTGCTGATATATGTACTTGAAAATAATAATAAACAAGTACAAATACATGGAAAATTTATTCAAGTACAGTAACAAAGTAAATGTACTTTACACACTATATAAAAAAAATACCAATGGGAACAGTTTGAGTTAAGGAAACAATCAAACAATTTAAACATATGAAGTCTTGTTTATCAGTGTTAATAGATTCTTGCTCTGATTGTATTTTTTGAAATGAACTGAATCCTAAACTCAAATGATCGCTGAGATAAATTATAAATCTTCTCGAACACATCAAACTATAAATATACTGCATGTTGCACGTTCACTACAGCATTTATTTAAAGAATATTTGGTAAAAAACTAAAGCTCATTTCTGTAAAATTATCAAACAGCGGCTAATAATACATTCAAACCTTTGAAATAAGAATATAAATTCAAACGAATCAAAAACAACTCACACTGCATAATTCTGTAATAAAAAAATCCATGTAACAAACATGAAAGAAAATCTTAATCTACTTTTCTTCATGATCAAACTATAAAAAGTTGGGTTTACATGATTTTTTGGAATGCGGACATCATATGACAATGTAAGCAGAAATAGCGCCATGTTGCAGATGATAGCAGCATCGTGTAAAAACTTGAAGTATTGCAGCTTTTAGATCTTTTTCCTGAGTAAATTAGACAAACCCTTCTCATCACAAGACAAAGAGCTAATACATATTTTAATAAGAATAAAATACACAAACACGTAGCTGTAAAAACGAGTGCAGAAGAACAAAAGACTTAAATAAGTGTCAGTAACTGAGAAGTCTAATTTAAAATGAAAAATAAATAAAATACTGCTGCTGTCAGTACATTCAGATAAGTAACCCTGCATATAATAAAACAGCATTGCAGCTTTGACAGTGCAGACTCTTGGATGTGGGTCATTTGTTTAGAGTCTGAGGCCTGGAAACCACCAGGGGCTATAAATACAGTGTGATTCATGTGCTCCTGCAGGGTGGCAAAGATCGGGAGCCGACCAGTACATAGAGACACAAAAGAAAGCTCAAATATCCACGTTTGTGTGAGCGCACAGGGGAAGTGTTGTTAAATGTCCTTCGCTCGCTCGGTCAAGACAGGCGGTGTCAGAGCGTGCTTTCATAGGTGACAGGAGTTTCGTTGTCATCGTCGCTTCCTGCTCCAGTGCCTGCAGGGTGAAGACGAGATGGAGGAAGAGAATATAATGAGAAACGCTCCAGTGAAAAGTCTGATTACATTTGTACAAGAACTACAAACAAAACAACATGCGTTGGAGTTGTCAACATTCATGAGTTGCGCTCGTGAGCACTGAGGTGAATCTGATATTCTCACACTAACATCAACAAAGCCACTATTGTGTAGATGTAAGACATGAAGGTGCGAGTGTCAGGGTAAACAGCCAAACTATACCTATGCAAAAATCCTTGTGTGAATGGACACATCTATCACAAAGGAGAAGTAGGGAGAAGCATTATAGGAAAATCAGATTCACCACTCGTTTACAACTAGGAAGCGAGGCGGGATCAACTGAGTTGAAATGTTGAAATGTAGGACTTTACCTACCTAAGAAAAAAGCTGATAAATTGGGTTTGACTCGCTCACCACAGTTCTTCGGTCTCTGTAACAGGTAAGGTCCAGAGATTCCTATGATAAGAGCACCGAGCGGGGCCGTGAGGAGGATGGCCAGCACTGCCACCGTCAACACATCCATGCCGTACTTCTCCATCTGCTTTTCGTTCCTTAACCTGGCCATGTCTAAAGCTGTGGAGCCTATAGCTGCCTGATGAGGGAGAAGACGATAGCAGTGTTTTTTTTCGCTGCTGATTCTCAAAGAAATTCACCATCACCATGAGGAAACACTTGAAACGTTATTATATTGCAGTCTTTGTTCACAAAGGAAAATGTCTGTTGATAAGTTCGATAAAAAAAAGATACTCATTCCAAAAAATAATTTTCCTGCTGAGAAATGTTTCAGCGCTGACTTACCTGCACTGTGGCTTTGGGCATCCATGCTAGAGCTATGAACACTTTCTCCCTCATGTTAAAGCCCGCACACAACACACACACAAAGGTGAACAGGAGTCGAACCACGAGGGCAATGAGCAGAGAGGCTATACCCAGACCTAGACACAAACAAAACAAGAGTCAGATGAAGATGTCATGAGTGGGTTTTGGAAATGATGCACCAGAAGCGTGACATCAACATTAGCAACATTAGTGAATTCTGGGTACTTAAGCATGTTTTTTTCTAATATAAGTACTGCTTGCATTAGAGATAGATCCCCAAAACAGTTTCAACAAGGGCCAACACAGGCTCAGGTTTCAGTATGTACAGATGGAGAGATTAAAACTCTCCGAGTCGTTTTTGATTATGCAAACACATTTACAATGTGATTATCCAGCTACATTTAAATCCCTCACATAACAGCCATGGCACTGTGTTTTATTTAGATGTCTGTTTGTGTTCATCTCACCAACTGTGTGTCCCTCCAGCTGAGAGATTCGAATTTCTGCTCCGATCAGTCCAAACAGCAGAGGCTGAAAAATGTCCCAGGCCCACCCGACCACTTCCTCCACACGTGCCTTAAGACACGGAACACACACAAATGATAAGCGAGGTTGTTTTTTTAACAGTGGTTATTAAAAACAACATGCTGATGAATATATTTTCTGAACAACAAATAAAACAGGTTCTGAGGTGGTACGCTTCTCTGCCAGGTAAACCTCAAAATTCATTATCAAAGATTGATAACTGTGAATAGGAGGCCTCATAAATATGTCTATGTGTTTGAAAGATGCCATATGCATATGTTATAACCTTTTCCTTCCCCCAGCCGAGTCCAGCCAGAAATGCCAACACCAGGGTGCAGAGGCCTCCAGAGCCAGGAAATCCAGCGACGTTGCTGCCGAACACAGCAAAGACGGAGAGAGCCAGCACAAGGAAGGAACGCTTCATCACCAAATGTTTCTGGGGAAAGAGAGTCATTGATTACACAAAGTATATTTTTGTATGGTGAAATCCAGACACATATAAGTGTTCACAGATATCAGGCAGCTGATGACATTTATATAAAAGGGGGGTTTGTCTTTGTCCTACAATGATACATACTAAATAATCTTGACCCGCTAAACTTGGAATGCAAACTCCAGCAAATTTCCATTTTCCGGACACATTAGAGAGTTCATGAACCGGCTTTGGATGACCTCAGAGATTAAAATCAGAAGTGAAACAGAAGATTTTCCTCAAGCATCTGTTGGTTCTTCATAGTTGTTCCTTACACAGACTGTAGAGCCTGTTTGCTAAGCGATTGTAAAACTAGATAATATTACAGTCATGCTGGGAGAACATGCCTACCTGGTCAACACTAGGAAAGTATTGGATGAGGAAGCCAAGAAGAATCCCAGCAACCGTCCCACCAGCAACCTCAAGTACACCTCTCAGGAGGTTGTACCATGTGGAGCCTGAAAGTGTCAGCAGAGAAAATATACAAATGACAAAAAATGTTTTACTATTTAGATGTGCAGCAGAAGCATTGTGAAAATGTATGGTCTTAACTTGGGTTTTATATGCAGGCAAAGACCTGTGGGACAAAATGTACAAAAATACTTTTACTTTGTGTTTTTAACACTAGCTCACTTGCACCCTCTACTGAGCTCCTGACAAACTACAGAGGAAAGTTACTTAAATCACATGGTTCTCAGTGTTGACCTACACTACAGTGAACAAAACTGGATGCCACTCCCCTGGAGATAAGATAGTGTTGCATTTAAAAGAAAAAAACCCACTGGATTCATTTCCCTTCACTTCGCCTCACACACAAACACATACATCCGCAGGTTACCTTCAGCGAAGGCCATGCTCAAGCATGTGGTGAACCCAGTGATGGCGAGGATGTCATCAAAACTGCCTGCAGCCATCAGCAGCGTGGGGATGCCCTGCTCCACGCCGTAACCGTCCTTCTGCAGCAGCAACATGGAGGGAACCACCACCGCTGGAGACACAGCGCCCAACACAAAACTACAAAGTGGAGGAGATTGAGTGTTTATCAGTTTATTTTCTCCTGTAAAGGTGTAACAAACAAAGAAGTGCTTATTTAATCAACAGCCTTTGAATACATCAGAGAGATAGAAGAAGGAGACACTGAAGCCGAGGATGTGTGTCTGAAATGAGATACAGGCCTCAAATTGAATACAACGGTTATGATCCTTAAATTACACCTCGGTCATGGGTGTTAAAATTAACATGATTTGTCTAATCATAAAAATACTTCTGCTTTGAATCTGTTATATATTTTTTAAATGACACTGGCCTCAAAACTGAGTTTGAGACATTTGAGTTGAGCAGTATAAAAAAATATTTGTTTTGGCCTCTATCCAACCAATGATAAGTAAAGCATTCAGAGGAGGAACAAGCCATTGGTGAATAAAGTCCCATATGATAAGTTGCTTTGCAACTACTGAGGCACACGAATGCTGATAAGGTTTTTTTTTTCACTTTTGTGAGGACAAAAAAACCCAGACACATC